CGTCGGTCTGCGTTTGGCTCCTGTTTGACCCCTCCTGTGCGTTTCGGAGGAGGACGTGCCCGACCTGAAGGCGCAGTCGCAGTGGGACGCACGGGGACGTACTAAACAATATCTGTTCGCCTTGGAGGCGCGCGTCCGACCTGAACACAGAGTATACCCATCTTGTAGTATATCGTTTCCCGAGCGGTGTGGCCAGAAAGCGCCCGCCGCGACGCGTATACTAGAAGATTTCTCGGTGCGCGCGTCGCCCCTGGGGGGGCGACACACACACACACATAGTACAAGTATGTTGGGGTGACGCCGAGACAGCATCGTCTGGTGACGATCTTTCGTGCTCACTTTGTCTACGTTTGACTCCTGTTTGACTCTCTTGTACGTTTCGCAGGGGGACATGCCCGACCTCAAGTTGCAGTCGCAGCGCATGGTAAGATGAGCAGCTTCTCGAGGTGACCCTTGCATCCTGGCCCCTTGGGCCTATCCCTGGCGACGTTCGCTGGCCAGCTCCATTCGTCAACATGGCCCTCCAAGGCCCTTGCATCCTTTCCGCGCATCCTTTCGCGCGTGTTGGCTGCAGGCGGCCCAAGACACGGCAGCAGCCGTCCGTGTGGAGCATCCCGGAGGTCCCCGAGGCACGCAGGACGCGCGTGGCAGAGGAGGAGCCCCTCGATCCTCGAGCCTCGGCTCGCCGTAGGCACGGCGGCGGCACCGCCCACGGTTGGCTCGCGCGCGCTCAGGCGGAGGAGGGGGGAACAGGGAACCGAGGCCTCCCACATCGGGTCCGAGTAGATGGGGTCGAGAGACTGCGCCGAATCGGCGATGCATCGGCGGTGCACGGGCCGCTGCGTCGCCGACGTCGACGATGCATCGCCGATACGTTGGCGATGCGGCGCGATCCTCCGACCCCATCTACTCGGACAACATTTGGGAGGCCTCTAGGGAAGGAGGGACTCAGGAGAGACAGAGGGATAGCGGGTATCCATGACACGCTGCCGTTGGAAGCCCGTCAGCGTGTGACTCCCCTGTTTTTGCCCGAAGACCGGGTAGGACGACGACGACGACGACGACGACGACGACGACGACGACGACGACGACGACAGCGTCTCTCATACGCCGAAGCGCCGGCGGTTGTTGCTGTTCCCGGGGAGTCAGGGGTGCGGAAGGAGAAGACAAGACAAGACAAGAGCCCGCGTCGAGGTACCCACGAGGGTGCGGCGGGAGGGCGCCGGGGCGCCGCTCAGAAGCCGGGGTCGGGAAATGGCAGCGGGGGTCGGAAAGATGGGAGTGGGTGACGGAGCCGCAGTCGCAGAAGAAGAACCACACGTATTGAAAGGGGGGGTGCGGAAGGAGAGGAGAGGGGGGGAGGAGGAGGAGGAGGAGGAGGAGGAGGAGGAGGAGGAGGAACGCTCTGCTGATGTTGCTTCCCCCAGTCGATGACGTACTGCTGTATCCCGCATTGCGATTCACACCATGACTTCTCTAGCCTCGCCTTGTGCTTAGAATCAACTCACGCCGTATTACGCATGTCCCAAAACATCGCACGAGAACTTGATGGTTGTCGGCGCGCGCTGCAGGAGGATGGAGGCTGGAGGATGAGGAGGAAGACACCACCCACCAAACCACCCCAACCCAACCCGAAGGCTTCAATTTGCCCTCCATTTCCAGTTGGGGGGGGCCGGGGAACATTCGGAAGAAACACACATGAAGCCCGTACCCCCCCCCCCCCGAACCCGAAATTCGGGTCTTCGGGTTGGGTTGGGGTGGTCTGGTATGTAGTCAGGAGGAGGAGGCGCAGGAGGAGGATAGCAGGACAACAGCCGCGGAGGCTCCACCAGGTTGCCCGACAGCGCTCCGCGTCCTCGAGCCCCAAGCGAGAGGGGGCAGGCCTTCTCCTCCTCTTCCTCCTCTTCCTCCTCCTTCTCCTCCTCCTCCTTCTCCCTCCTCCTCCTCCTCTCTCCTCCCCCTCCTCCTCCTCCCCCTCCTCCTCCTCCCCCGCCTCCTCCTCCTCCTCCTCCTCCTCCTCCTCCTCCTCCTCCTCCTCCTCCGCCGACATCGGAGAGGGCCTGCAGAAGCTCTCGGACGGCCGGAGGCCTCCCGGGCCCTCCGAGCAGGCCCGCCCCCTCAGAGCAAGCATTTTTGTGCTCTCGGTGAGAGACTGCTGCTGGCCGGCGAGCTCCGCGTTCGATGGGGGGGGCACTTGAGGGCGAGGACAGGGCTCACCTTTCGACTCCTCCGATTCGACTCGAATCGATTTCGACGGCTTCCGATTCCGATTCGATTCGCGCGCGGATTTTGGTCTGGGTTCCGATTCCTCTCGGACGGGGCTAGGGCGGGGGCAAATTCGTTCCAGAGCGTCCTGGAACGCTCTCAGAGAGTTCCAGAACGCTCTGAGCAGGCCGTGGCGATCGAGACACCCTCCAGAACCACTGGATTTCAGGGATCCTCGATTTATCTTCGCCCGATGTCCTTCGCGCCCTCGCGCGCCTGCTCCCTCGTTTCCCCAGATTCCCCCTTTTGTCCCGCTCGGAGATCCTGGAAAAAGCATCCCGAGCCAGTCGTATCGTGACAGTGTTCTCGTACTTCGGGCCGGACGAAAGGGGGGGATTGGGAAAGGGGGGGTTACGACATCTGCTGCATGCAGCTGGTTTCGGCCCCACCGAGGGGCCAATTCCTCGATACACAGCCGCCTCCTGCGTCGGGAGGCGCCGGGAAAGTCACCTGCGTGAGCTGATTCTCAGACCCTCCCCTTGGCTATCTAAAACGACGCGAAGATCGGGACACAATCGGATCGGGATAACTCGAAATCTCTGAGAATCGGCGGGTTTGGAGGATGTATTGGGCGCCGCGGCCGCTCCAGAGCGTTCCGGAACGCTCTGAGAGCGCTCCGGAACGCCCTGGAGCGATTTACCCCGATCCTATAGCCCTGTTTTGCTATCCCCCCCCGTTCGCCCGGCCCGAGCACTGCGCATCCCCCCGCCTCCTCCAGCAGTGGACGCCGCGCCCTCGCCCCCGTGGGCGGAGGCGCGCACCCGTAATTACCCGCGGCGGCCTCGCGGCCCCCGCGGCCCCCTGGGGGCCGCCCCGCGGCCAAGGGGGCGTCCCTGCGCGGAGGCCCTGGCGCGGAGCGTCTCCGTGCGGGCCCGCGTGTCAGAGCCGCCCCGAGATCTGCGCGAGCGAAGGGGGCACGGAAAGGAGGGGCACACTGCCCAACGGCGGGTCTTGCTCCTTTTGAGCAGGACTCGCCGTCCACGCCGCCGCGGCCCGTGTCCATTCGAGACAGGAGGCCGCCCGCCCACGAGCGGCCGCCGTTGATTCGGGACAACATTGGTTGTTGGGCATTGTTTCCATTCTTTCCGCATCCACTTCGGGCGTCCAGACGAAAGGGCCCCGGGAGCGCTCCGATGTGGCCCAAAAGGTGGCTCCCAGAAGGGCCACGAGGCCCCCGAGACGCCCCGGGAAGGCTCCAAGAGGCCCTGCAGGAGAGCCCCTGGGGAGACGAAGCTGGCCCCATTCCTTTCTCGTAAAGCCTATATATGGCGGCGTTTTCAAACTTCCGTGTCCTGCCATCCCGTTTGCCGTCAATGCCACCGTCCGCTGGCATTCTTCTCAAGCTCTTTTTTTCGACGGCCGGCACATGTACTCCCGACTGAGAGGACTAGTCACTTCGCTTGGAGCCATAGTCGGGACAAACTTCAGTGGTTTCATCGGAGCTGCAGGGGGCATCAGCAGCCTCGCACAGCAGGTGACGGACTGCGCAGTATTGGAGTTGGGCGCACAGTGGGCTCCTGCCGCTCTACTGCTGGTCGCGATCTTCGGTTTCTTGGTGGGCGTGCTGTGCCAGCAGTGCCCTGCGAGTCGGTCGCCGCCTCAACCTACAGTGGGGAGGGGGCGGGACTTGGCAGGCCCGCATCGTCGTTGGTCCAGCCACACGGAAGGATCTCAGCGACGTCATGGAGATCGAGGCGAGCGCCCAGCAGGAGGCCGACGGCAAGATCTGGTACCTCTTGAGCCCGGACCTCGACGTTTATCCAGTGCTGGTGGACGCCCCGGACCTGCGCGGCTACGAGCTTCTGGACAACGACGGGAGCGTGCTGTTGAGGTCTGGGCTCCGCCGGGGCGGGAGACCGGTGTACGGCTCCGAGTGGGTGCCCACCGCGCTGGAGCTGGTGGACGCGATGGAGGCGGTGGCCCCGCAGGTCCAGCCCGAGCGCAGGATGTCCAAGAAGGGTCCGCTTCTTCCGACGGGGGCAGCAACGCAGACACCTACGGACTTGGTGAATATAGTGACTGGGAGTGAACGGCTCCCGGAGGTGAAGCCGCTGCGCTGGTACGTCACGGCGGGGCCCAACAAGTCCGAGATCGACGGTCTCTTCCCCCACTCCGTGGTGGACGAGTTCGCGCGCTCGGATGACATGGCCATCGCGGTGGTCGGCACCGGCGTGTATACCCTCAGAGCCCTCGACCCGAAGGAGGGCGTCGTGCAGGTCATCCGAGACGACCGCCTGCTAGCCATGGCGAAGGACAGCAGCGGGATCCGCAAGAAGCTGTTCAGGGACGCCGTGCTGGAGGTCACGGAGAGCCCGTGGCCAGGGTGGCCGCTCTTGGGGCCGCGCACTACGGCCTGGTGCGTCCGCTTCATCGCGGAGCAGGACAGCCACCCCCGGGCCCGCCACACCAAGTGGTTGCACGAGACGGGGCTCACACAGTCGGACCCGGGGGTGGCTGATCATGAAGTCGCCATGCGGGCCTTCGAGTTCGGTCTCGTGTATGACCAGGTGAACGTGGGAGAGCTCGTGAGCTTCGAGCTGTTGGCCCGGCGGGCGCAGATGGCGGAGTGGCGATGCCGCGACCGCCTGGCGCCCCGCCGGGCCGATGAGACGGCGGAGGACGAGCACCTCTACATGGGCACGGGGGAGACGAGGGGCCTCATCATGATGGCCCCGTTCCTGGTGGAGCACATCTCGACGGAGCTGCACCGGGAGAGCCAGGTGATGAAGGAGAAGAGGAAGTTGAGGGAGGAGCGCCAGCTCGCAAAGGGCACTGGCGCCGACGGCGACACGAAGGAGAGCCTTCGCAAGAAGGTCGAGAGTCAAGCTGCGGAGCTTCGCCGGCTTCAGCAGCAAGGGGGTAAAGGAGACCCCGCAGGCGGCCGCGATACCGGCGGCCGCGGCGCCAAGTGACAACGCCATGCCTGCGCCTCGGGAGCTGCTACCTGTGCCGCTCCCGCAGGCGCCCTTCGACAGCAGCGGGCGTCCCAGCTCGTGCTGTCGTGCCGTGCGTTCTCGTCTACTCCGCCACCGGCACGTCGACGGGTGGAGCATGGAGGCGCATCAGGCGCTGAACTGTCTCCACGGACGAGGGGGCGCTGATCCTGGGTGCCCGCCCACTCTAGGGCAAAGTTTTGGTTCTGAACACGTGCGAGCTGCTGTTCAAAGCATCGGTGCTCCCACTATCACCGGCGCGGCAGCCTTCAAGGAGCTGCGCGCCAGCAAGCCCGGCTACACATCGACGCCGGTGAAGCCCGCCGCCTTCCAGCGCGACCTCGTCGCGCTGCCCTCGCCCGGCGCCAAGTGCGATGGCGCCAGCATCTTGCAGGGCGAGGCGCTTGACCTCTGGGAGGATTGGCAGCAACGGTTGTTGCGGAAGAGCCCAGATGTCTCCGCCGTGAAGCCGCATTGCGACGCGAAGCTGATGCAGAGCAAGTCCAGCTACGCCCACTTCGTGGCTGACTTGTACGACGCCGGGCTGGTGAAGTTCGGCTCGTTACGTGAACCTACTCTTGGAATTTTCTTCGTTCCCAAGTCTGATGGGAAGTTGCGGCTTATATTTGACACGCGTCGGGTCAACCAGCTCTTCGAGCCTCCTGCGCACACGGCGCTGCCTACGGCTGGCTGCTGGAAGGGGTTGCTCTTGGAGCCTAATGACGAGCTGTGCCTCTCGCAAGTTGACGTGGAGGCTTGCTTCTACCGCATGCGTGCACCTCCCGGGATGGAGGAGGTTTTCGTCTTGCCCCCGCTGGACTGCGATGCCCTTCGCCGACTTCGGCCAGACATCGCCATCGGCGGGGACGTGACATGTTCTCCCTTGCTCATCGTTCTGCCTATGGGTTGGAACTGGTCACTGGTTTTTTGCCAAGAGATGGTCACGCAGTGCGTGCAGCGTGCTGGTTACCCGCCGTCCCGTATTATTGAAGACAAGCGGGCGACTCCATCCCTGGTCGGCCAGACCGCGGCCGCGGTGTATGTCGACGGAGTCGCAGTGATTGGCACGCAGAGCGCGCAGACCGTGCAGGACTGTCGTACCATTGCCGAATCCCTCCTTGCAGTGGGCCTGGTCACCAAGGACATGGAGCTGCCACAGGACGAGCGGCCGTTCACCGGGCTCATCTTCGAGAAGGGGTCCGGGCGGATCTCCCTCTCGCGCAGCCGGATCTGGAGGATCCGACGGGCCTTCCAGTTTGCCGCCGAGGCCGACAAGCTCACTGGCGTGCAGATGCGCATGCTCCTGGGGCACTACACCTGGGCAGCCATGCTGAGGAGGCCGCTGCTGTCCGTCTTCGCCGCCTGCTACTCCTTCGCGGAGAAGGCCGGGGACATGGCGTGGCGGCCTTGGGCTACTGTACGTCACGAGCTCAGGCTGGGCGCAGCGCTGGTGGCGATGGCCTCTGTAGATTTGCGTCGGCCGGTCGCCGCCACTGTGCTGGGCCCCAGACTTGGCGCCGCCAGGGCTCGAGTCGGCCGCCGCTGGCGACCATGGGGGCTTCGGCGTGGTCAGCCGCGAAGTCCCCCGCTGCGCCGTGGCCGCCGCTCTTCAGCTCAGCGAGAAGTGGAGATTCAAGACGCTCGACTTTCTAGGGGCTCGGGCATCAGCGCTCGGCCTCAAGGATGATCCTCACGACGCTGCTGCGCAGAATCATCCTCCTCCTGTGAAGCATCATCACGTACCGCCATCTGGGATGGGAGCGTATGTCAACGAGCCTTCATCATCGACGTTGCCACCACATCGCTACGTCATCACTTGGGAGGAGGAGCAGAAGTTTTTCGAGATCGGTAAGAGTATATTGGGTTCTCAAGAAGACTGGAAGGTTTGTTTCTATGGACGGTTCAACAGGGCCGCCGACATCGTTATCCTGGAGGGGGAGGCTCTGGTCATGGGGGTCCGCCACTTCGTTCGCAACACTGCCAACCATGGACGTCGCCTGCTGCTGCTATGCGATAACATGGGGCTGGTGCTCGCATCAGGGAAGGGGAGATCTTCGGTGCCGTCGCTCAACCTCGTGCTTCGTCGGCTCGCTGCGATCTCCATCTTCGCCAATATCGATATCACAGTACGGTGGATCCCTTCAGAGTTGAATCCAGCAGACGCCCCGTCGAGACTCCCAGCAGCCAGGGCTCAGGACGCCCGCCTCGACCTCCGCTCTTTCGGAGGCCGCCCTGCGCCAGAGCCCGACGATGGCTCGCTATGGCGAGCCGCTGCGGAGGCGCTCGCCGCAGAAGGGCGCCCGCGGCGGCGCGACCCAGGCCTTGCCGGCCTCGGCGACGCCGCGGCGCCCGCGGCACTGGCAGGGGGCTTCGGGCTCCACCGGGGGGGCATCGGCACGCAGCCGAGCGACTCCTCGGACAGCGACTCGGAGCCGGAGCCCACGGCCAGCTCGAGCGACGCCAGCCCCAGCGGAGAAAGCTACAGCGAGAAGAGCGAGGTTGGCGGCCGAGCGGACCAGGACGGCACGCGCCACTACTTTGGTGCAGCCGACCGGGACCGCGCTCACGTACCTGCAGGCGCGCAAGATCAGGGCCTCGTCCAACGTGCACTTCGTGACCTCGTACCGGAACTTCGACAACTGGTGCCAGACGCATGCCGTGCCCGTTCAGACCGCCAGCGAGATCGACAAGGCCATCAGCGAGTACATGGACGTGCTCTACTTCGACGGGATGCCGTCGGACGTCGCATCGAAGACGATCGCGGCCGTCCGGCACTTCCGCCCCGCGGCGGTGGGCGAGGCCGAGTTGGCGGCCAGCAGGGCCGCGCTGAAGGGCTTCCGCCTGCTCGCCCCAGCCCGCGCGCGCCAGCCGCTGGTCCGCGAGGCGGTCTTCTGCCTGATAGGGCTGGCGATGCTGGACGGCGAGTCGGGGTTCGCGGAGGCCCTCAGCTTGGCATGGGACACAGCCCTCCGCTTGCCCAGCGACCTGATGCAGTTGCGAAGCCCGTCCCTCGTGCCGCCGCAGCCCCGCATGGAGATCTACGTGTGGAGCCTGCTGCTGTACCCAGAGGAGACCGGCCTGCGCAGCAAAGGGAAGCAGTTCGACGAGGGGGTCCAGCTCACGCCAGCAGGATCCAAGGCGCTAGGCCCTGCCCTGGCGCGCCTACGGGAACGCCCAGCCCTGGCGCCCGTGTGGGACCTCGACGCCAGGCGCTTCGGCCAGCTCTTCAAGAAGTACGCGGAGATGATCAACCTCAGGGACCCGCACCCATACCGGGTGCGACACGGCTCGGCGAGCTGGGACATCGCCAGCGGGACGCGGAGCCTCGAGGCGGTGCAGGCCCGTCTTCGGCACGCCAGCGCGACCAGCACCCAGCGGTACAGCCGAGCTGCTCGGTACACCGCGGAGCTGGAGCTGGCGCCAGAGTCGGTCAAGGCCTTCGGCGCCGCGGTGGCGGACCAGTGGGCCTTGACGCTCCAAGGCCGAGGCCGCCTGCCGCCCCGCCCGCGGCGCCCCGACAAGCCGTGGTGAGCAAGCGGCCAGCAGGCGACGCTTATCAGCCCAGTGATTTTTTTGCCCCTTTCATCCCTCCGCAAGCGTATGCAGAAGTTGTTTGATGCAGCCCGCAGAGGCCGCAATCGTGCTCAGGTGTTTCTTGATCTTTTCGCCGGTGACGGCAGTGTGGCTAGCAAAATTCGTTCGAGTACTGAATATGGTGTAGTCTCTATCGATATTAGATCTGATCCGTGGCTTGATTTGTCTGACATCCGTCTCGTCCGTATCCTCATAGGTTGGATCGGATGCGGTGCTGTGCGCGGCATATGGATCGCACCACCGTGCAGCACCTGGTCAGTGGCCAGCCGCGGTAGATACAGGTCTCCTCTTAATATCTACGGACACCCTGATCTCGATCCCCAGGGCCTTGCCCGTGCCCAGCTCGGAAATGTTCTGTTGAAGCACTCCCTGTTAATAGTCACCGCCTGCCTCAAAAGAGGAATGCCTGTTGCACTCGAGAACCCCATGTCCAGTCTGATGTGGCAAGAGCCCCTACTTTCTCACTTACTCACCTTGCCGTCTTGTAATACTACCGTTTTTGACTTTTGCGCTCACGGGACGCGTTGGAGAAAAAGCACCCGCCTGGCGTCGTGGCACTGCGGCGCAGCCCCTGAGGCGCTGGCCCGCCGTTGCCATGGCGCCGGGGTCAGGTGCTCTTTCTCTGGCCGTCCCCACATCTCTCTCGAGGGTAAAGCCCCTTGCGGGCGGCACTGGACTTCCATAGCCGAGCCGTACCCGCCCTCCGCTGCCCGTGCAATGGCCCGTTGGCTGTCGCGTGCCGCGGATCGGATTCACCTCGAGAATTTGTCCCGTGTGTGTAATTGACATGTGCCGGCCAGAGGCCAGGTTTGGGTCTTCGGTCACTTCAAGCACGTGCTTCATGGTGGAGCCCGCCGGCCAGCCCGCCGTTCTCCATATAGATCGAACCATCTCTGGTGAAGAAACGGGTGGGACATGGCGGCGTTTTCAAACTTCCGTGTCCTGCCATCCCGTTTGCCGTCAATGCCACCGTCCGCTGGCATTCTTCTCAAGCTCTCCTCCTCCCTCCCCTCCTCCGTGTTAATGTTTGCGTTAATGATCTGCTGGTCACTTCAAGCACGTGCTTCATGGTGGAGCCCGCCGGCCAGCCCGCCATTCTCCATATAGATCGAACCATCTCTGGTGAAGAAACGGGTGGGACATACATATATGTATGTATGTATATATATATGTATATATATATATATACATAGAAGAACCCCCCCCCCAAAGGCCCGCACAGGCGCCCGAGAACGCCCCAAGGCCGTCAAGGACAGCCCCAAGACGGCCTCTAGGAGAGCCTCCTGGGATGCTCTTCCGGCGGCCGCCCCGGGCTCCCTGCGCGGGACCGCGCCCCGGGGAATCCAGCCCGCGAGGGCGCGGCTGCGGGTGTCCAGCGGCGCGCCCCGGGTGGGAGTGGGAGAGGGCGGGCCTTCGCAGAAGGTGGCGGGGCTTCTCATCACCGCCCACCAAACCACCCCAACCCAACCCGAAGGCCTCAATTTGCCCTCGATTTCCAGTGGGGGGGGGTCGGGAAACGTCGAAAAAACACATGTGGAACCCTTACCCCCCCAACCCGAAATTCGGGTCTTCGGGTTGGGTTGGGGTGGTCTAGGAGGTAGTCAGAAGGTGGCGGGGCTTCTCAGGAGCCCCCCGGCCTTTGTGAGAGGGCCCTGCGCCTTCGCAGAGGCCTCAGGAAGCTCCGCAGAAGGCGCGAGGGCTTCTGACAAGACCCGCCGCCCTCTTGGAGGGCCTGACCCCTCTCACTCCCCCCTGGGCTCGCCGCCGAGCAGCGTTGTCGGGCAACCTGGTAGCGCCTCTGCGGCTGTTGTTCTGTTGTTCTCCTCCTCATCCTCCTCCCTCCTTCCTCCTGCAGCGCGCGCCGATAACCATCAAGCTATTGTACGAGGCTTTGGGACCTGCGTGATACGGCGTGTGTAAACTCCTAAGTACAAGGCGAGGCTCGAGAAGGCGAGGCTCGAGAATTTTATGATTGTACGAGTTACGTTTGCTGTTCGCAAGGCATCCCGGGGAGCATCCTCCTTTGACTCTTCGGGGACGCTCTGACCCGGATCAATGCAAATCTGGGTCAGTCAGGCATTCCAGGATCCCGCAGGATCCTGCAGGATCCTGCGCTTGAGCTCGATCGGTGCACCCCTTGGTCTGCAGGATCCTGCAAGGTCCAGTGCTCTGGCTCACCTCCGTTTGCATTGACCCCACTGATGATGACAACGACGATGACAATTCGACGATGGCGATGACGACGATGACGACGATGACGACGATGGCGACGATGACGACGACGATGACGAGCACTTGCCATCGTCATTGCCATCGTCGTCGTCGTCGTCGTCCTCGTCGTCCTCGTCGTCATCGTCGTCATCGTCGTCATCGTCGTCATCGTCGTCATCGTCGTCGTTGTCATCGTCGTCATCGTCGTCATCGTCGTCATCGTCGTCGCCATCGTCGTTATCGTCGTCATCGTTGTCATCGTCGTCGTCGTCGTCATCGTCATCGTCATCGTCGTCATCGTCGTCGTCGTCGCCATCGTCGAGGCGCCCGAACCTTCCGGGGCGCCCCAGCTGAGCCCCGAGCGGCGGCGGCGGCGGGCGGGCGGTCGGCGGGCGGTCCGCGCCGCGCGCCCCGCACCCGCGGAGGTCGGCGAGGAGGCGCGGCTGCCGGAGGCGGGAGGGCTGCTGGAGCAGGCGCGCCCGGGTGTGTGCACGTGTGTGTGTGTGTGTGTTCTGTGTTGTATGTGTGTGTTCTGTGTTGTGTGTGTTTGTGTGTGTGTATGTGTGTGTGTGTGTGTTTGTTTTTGTTTTTGTGTGCGTGTGTGTCTGTGTGGGTGCGTCCTTGGTTTCCTTCGGCCGCGCCCCTCCTTCCTCCTCGTCTTGAACGGTGGCACAGTGCGCCCCAACGGGACCCCCGTTTAGGCCTTTATCGCCAGCGCAGTCACCCCCTGCCTAGCCGCCGACGCTCAAACATGTGTGTGTATGTGCGTGTGTGCGTGTGTTTTGTGTGTGTGTGTGTTTGTGTGTGTGTGTGAGTGTGTGTTTGTGTGTGTTTGTGTGTGTGTGTGCGTGGGGGGGGGGGGGAGGGGAGGGGGGGGCAAGTGTCATCAGGGCCTCCTTCCCTTGAGGTCTTGGTTTTTGGTTGCCCCCACCCATGCTGGCGAGAATCGATAGCATCACGCAGATGCTAGCAGGGCAGGTAAGGGGAGGGGGATGTTCGCAGAGGGATTTGTGACGCTTTTTGGCGGGGAGAGGTCTCGGGGGGGGGGGGAGGAGCACAGAAGCCTTTAGGCACATCAGAAACTCAACTGTGTATACTTTGCTCTCTTTTGACCCCCCCCTCCTCCATCCTCAGAGGGGGAGGGGGGGAAAAGGGGGAGGTGCGGTTGCCATTGCCACTTGTGGTGTTGCTGCTGCTTCCTCTACTGCCGCCTGCTGTTGCGTCTACGTGCTCTCGCTACCTCTTCTCTTGTGGCTTCCGGTTGTCACTGCCGCCGCCCCTGCTACCGCTGCCGTGCCTGCTATTAGCCGCTGCTTCAGCTGCTCCGAGCTCCCCTGCCACTCCTGCTACTTTGATGCTCCTGCGTGCTTCTACCTTGCGAGGTCAGCCGCGCGCTCGCGAAAATCATCGCGCCCCGCGGGCCTGGGCAGCAGGATTGCCCCAAGGATGCCCCGCGCGAGGGCGCGCAGCAGCGCCCCGCGCCTCTCGCGGCGCGAGGCGCCAGGTGCCGCGACCCGCTTTGCGCACCCGGTGCCTTCTCGCACCCCCAGCGGCGCGTGGCGCCAGGTTGCGCGCCCCTCTTCCTCCTCCTCCTCCTGTTCCTCCTCCTCCTGTTCCTCCTCCTCCTCCTCCTCCTCCTCCTCCTTCTTTCTCCTCCTCCTCCCCCTCCCCCTCCTCCTCTTCTTCCTCCTCCTCCTTCTCCTCCTCCTCCTCCTCCTCTTCATCCGCCTGTTTCTTCACACCCCCTTTTCGTTCTCACAACCCCCAGGCGGCCAGCGGCCCGGGCCTTTGGTGAGGCTTGTGATGCTCCAACCTACTTGAGCCTGGAGCACGGGCAAGAGTTTCGAGCGCCAAGAAGTTGCCGAAACTGGAGGATCTTCACGTGTCTGGCTCTGGGGGGCGCAGATCGTTCGACTCTGTTGCGATACTGTTCTGGGTGCTCGAAGTTGCTTCTGGGACTTGGTCCTGCAGTGCGATGTGAGCCGCCACATCCATCTGCTTCGTTCTCACCGCCCCCAGGCGGCCAGCGGGCCAGATCTTTGGCGAGGCAGGGGCCCCATTGTGTCAAGTCGGGCCTGTCCCTCTACAGGGGGAATATTAAAAAACAGTCCCAAAAAATAGTCGGGGGACTATTTTTGGAGCATCCTTGCGCATCTTTTGAGTGTGCTTGGCGTATCTCTGATCTTTCGTCCAGAGTCCCCCTGTGTGGGGGGACAGGCCCGACCTAGCCCCTGTGCCGCTCGCCTGCCCAAGGGGGGCCCGCTGCGCCTCCCTCTCCGCCCCGTGGCGGCCCCCGCCCGCCGCGGGGCGGAGAGGGAGGGGAAGCCTCCTCCCTCCTCCTCCTCCTCCTCCTCCTCCTCCTCCTCCTCCTCCTCCTCCTCCTCCTCCTCCTCCTCTCCTCCTCCTCCTCCTCCTCCTCCTCCTCCTCCTCCTCCTCCTCCTCCTCCCCCTCCTGCCTCCCTCCCTCTCTCCCGCCCACCCTCCCTCCCTCCGCTGCTGGAGGCCTTTTTTTGGGGGGGGGTCCTGGCCCCTCCGCTCCCGCAGCTTGCCCCCCGCCCCTCCCCCGGGGCTCGCTCGGCTTCCTATGGGGGCCACGTGCGAGCCCTGCCCCTGCCCCCCCACGATTTCTGGGGGGGAGGGTGGTGGGGGTTCACTCCGCTCGTGGGTTCGCACGAG